AAACATTATAAAAAAAAATTTAAACAAATATGAGTGTTTATATAAATTATTAAATGATTTTTCATAATCTGAATGGTTATGATGGTATAATCTGAATTAAAATATTTATATTGTATAATAACTTTCTCTAACTCATGTGTTTTAACGAATATAATCAAATAGGTTCAGTAAAATTATATTTCATTTATTATTAAAAACAACTTTTTAAGGATTATTTGAAATTAATACTAATAATTTTAATCTTCAATGAATATTATAATAATTAAATTAAATAAATTTATGCAGGGCCGTAGCAACTAATTGTTGCGCTCCAGGCTAAATTTTAAAATGCGCCCGTATAAAACTATAAATATAATAAATTAAGCTTGAAAATATTTTCGCATTACAATAATCGTTGTGTTTTTTATCTTTTCATAAGTATTTTATAAACATTTGTTATCTTATTTAATTAACTACATTTTAAACGCTAATAATTTTATTTGATTTTAAATCGGTAAATTTTTAAAATAGAATTTTACAAAAGAAATAAGGAACATATTAATATTTAGCATATAATGTGTAAAGAAACATAACATTATTTTATATTAATTTTAAATATTATCAAATAAAAATTTTCCAAGTTTTTTTCCCAGCAAAGTCTGATAAGTTGGTCTGTATTAAATGTATTTACCGATATTTGTTCGATTGATAAAATAGCCAAATTAGATATTCGATCTTATCCTATTGTCGATTTAAAGAGTTTTTAATAAGTTTTAACTTACTAAATGATCTTTCACACGTCGTCACAGTTATTAGCAAAGTAAAAAATATGCCTAAGGCTATTTCTACGTTTGGATACACGTTAAGAATATTTTGTAATTAATAGAAGTAGGTCTAAAGGTTCTACGACTCTTAAGTCGGGTAAAAGTGATAATGCTTGAGACTTAAAATGTTTTATTACAAAACTAAAATCGGAAGCATTTAGATCGATTTTATACTTAATGGTTGCTTAATTGCATATTTTTGTATATAGTCCAATGAATTAACCAACAAGCTACTACCATACAAAAATTAAAAATCTTTAGCAATTTCATCTATATTTTCTCTTTTGTTAATCAGAAAAATTTGCTTTAATACCGAGATCGTAAGCTAACATTTTTCCGCATTCAATTGACTTAAAATACTCAGAAAAAGTAACTTACATTATATTTATAGATGAGCTTTGAGACGGCAATGCGATAACGATAATATTTTCTATTAATTATATGCCTAGCTAATATATTTTACAGCCCGGCATTTCACCGAATTGTTCCTTCGACATCCGTATCGATCAATAGATATCAAGTTCAACAAAGTTTTGTAAGTACAAAAATATTATTATAAGTAGTAAACTAAATACAATTTTTGACCAAAAAATCCAAGTATCAATAAATTTAAATGACATTAAAGTTGTACGCAAATCATAACAGATGTAGTGTCCGGGGTCGAGCTGTTTATTTATATTTTAAAACATTAAAATGTTTAATAAGAAAAAACAACTATATGAATGGATTAGTGCAAATAAAAGTTCAGTATTCAATATAAGAAATTCACTATGAATTTATATTAACTTAAAGTGAAACTTATTGTGTAAAAATTTGGAAAGTAAAAACTCAATTTTTTATTGAGATTGTATTTAAAATGTGATAAAGCTTTTATTTTATAACTTAAATAATATGATATTGAAGATTATTATGCTAAATTAAAATACATGGCTAGGCATAAACGAGTTTATAAGTTAAAGTTAAATTATATTTTTTAACTTAACGTAGATAATTAGAATTTACGTTTACTTGATTTTAACTTAATTTATATTTCGTTTCTTTTACGACTAATTTGTCTATAATACCTCCTAAAAATAAAATTCTAAATATTTTAAAATATTATTTTTATAAAAATTGATTCAAAATTATTTGTCTTATTCAAGGAATAATATATAACATCATTTCACGGTTTTTTGTTGCTTAATGTCAATTTTATTGATAAACAACTTCTGCGAAATCGCGATCTCAGACTAGTTGAACCTTGTCATGCGGGTTTCTCGGAAATAAATTCATATATTAATAGATATTTACCGACATTATCGTTTACAGTAAACGTTCAATAAATAACCGGTCTACTATTATAAATATGTTTTTGATAATCAATTCTCTTTAACTAGTCTCTATTAGGGTGTCCTTTATTTTTAAAATTTTAATTATTCTTCAGACCAATCAGAAAAGTTTTACCCGTGCCGACTTAGGGTTGAAAATCGATAAAAAGAGGTAGTTTTTAACAATACCTCTTTTAATCGATTTTTTTTATCGAGTTTTTAGCAATTAACTCGTAAATTAGCGCTCTCATAACAAAAATCATTGAAACTAAATTGTAGATCGAATTGTTTTGTATAAATTAAGTTCTAATCGTTTTTCTTTAAAATCTATTTAGTTCACCAAAAAATTATTAAAAAATGTAATATTTAGTAAAATTATGAAAATTGAAATTTATTATGTTAAAACGGTAAATCATGGGAGTCGTGGTGTGGCGGACCTGGAAGGCTCTCCTGAGGGAATTTAATATTTATTTGTTGTTCGGGTTACCGTCTGGACTTCCAATTGAGCTATCCGCACAGAGCCCTTCAAGATGTGTATAGGAGGTAGTGATTATGTATAAAGAAATGAATTTAACACTTTCGAAATAATGCTGGTTATAAATATTAAAATGTATTATAAGATAAACATTAAGTTACAAAAGAAAAGTAAAAATTAATATATATATATATATATATACAAAGTAAACTTTCATAATAACAATGCAAGTATAAGAATATGCTTTACAGTTATAGTGTTTATTCTGTAATAGTAGACAATAGACTGACTAACGATAGTAAATATTGATAGAGCCAAAATCAAGGGGACTTCCACAGGCGGATGTCCCTATCAATCATACATATATTTATATTCACAAGATAAATTATTTTATTAAGTGGTGGTAACACAACAGTGGCATACTTGGCTCAAGTATAGATGATATCTAACAGTGATTAAAATCACCATCATATGTAATGCTTCCATGTAAATCTGCAAATAGTGTTTAATTTTAAAAAATTGTCGAATTATTCCAAAATCAGAATGAACTTCTATTTTGTTATTTATATCCGGATTATAAGTTTTATAATTTATAAGTGTTATATATGAATAAATATTTATTATAGAAATTAAATATACTATAGTGAAATTGATATTTAATAATATAGTATTGTAATTTTTACGATGTTATCATAAAAAATTATAGATCAGTTTTACTTTTATGGCAAACGTGTATAAAAATTAAATGTCTTGTTGCAATAAAAAAAAATTGTTTGTTACTTATGAATATAATTACTATTTATAAAATATACACATCTAAACCTATTATTGCGCTGATTTTACATATACAATTACTTTTATTTTATCATCATATTTTTGAGATTATTACTCATTGTCAAAAACGAGTATATACATACAAAAAATTGGACCAATCAGAGTTGAGAATTTTTATTGACAAATATAAAAAAACGCACAGCATTACAAAACCAATTCCATATTAGTTTCACATAGAAACTAAAAAACAACTGAAATTTACTCAATTAAGTGTATTTTAAAAATTGATTATAATTATAAAAATTTGGTATATAATTATTGCCTGGACTCGTCTCGGAACTTTGTCAAAAGTACAAAAAACCGTACTCAGGTCGGAGAATATCTAGTGTTATTACCGCAGATATTGCCCAGCAATTTCTCTTTTACGGGTTACTTGGAAACTCGAGTACCATTTTTGACTAATGCCATTCAATAGGAAATTTTATAAGCTTTAATTTGGTATATAATTATTGCCTGGACTCGTCTCGGAACTTTATCAAAAGTACAAAAAACCGGTCGCACGTCGGAGAATATATGATGTTATTAACGCAAATATTGCCCAGCAATTTCTTTTAAACGGGTTACTTGGAAACTCGAGTACCATTTTTGACTAATGCCATTCGATAGGATATTTTATAAGCTTTAATTTGGTGTATAATTATTGCCTGGACTCGTCTCGGAACTTTGTCAAAAGTACAAAAAACCGTACTCAGGTCGGAGAATATCTAGTGTTATTACCGCAGATATTGCCCAGCAATTTCTCTTTTACGGGTTACTTGGAAACTCGAGTACCATTTTTTGACTAATGCCATTCGATAAGATATTTTATAAGCTTTAATTTGGTGTATATTATTGCCTGGACTCGTCTCGGAACTTTATCAAAAGTACAAAAAACCGTTCACAGGTCGGAGAATATATGATGTTATTAACGCAAATATTGCCCAGCAATTTCTTTTAAACGGGTTACTTGGAAACTCGAGTACCATTTTTGACTAATGCCATTCGATAGGATATTTTATAAGCTTTAATATGGTGTATAATTATTGCCTGGATTCGTCTCGGAACTTTGTCAAAAGTACAAAAAACCGGTCGCACGTCGGAGAATATGTAGTGTTATTACCGCAGATATTGCCCAGCAATTTCTCTTTAACGGGTTACTTGGAAACTCGAGTACCATTTGTGACTAATGCCATTCGATAGGATATTTTATAAGCTTTAATTTGGTGTATAATTATTGCCTGGACTCGTCTCGGAACTTTATCAAAAGTACAAAAAACCGGTCGCACGTCAGAGAATATATGATGTTATTAACGCAAATATTGCCCAGCAATTTCTTTTAAACGGGTTACTTGGAAACTCGAGTACCATTTTTGACTGATGCCATATAAAAATTACTATAATTTTTAAAAGTTTTTTTTTTGAATATAATTTTTAAAAGAATACCCTTCTGAATTTGTTCGTAACTACTTTATAATAAAATATATATTTTAAATAAGTGGCGCCCTCTAGCGGTGTATTTGAGTTTTATATCTGATAAGGAATTGCTATATAGGTATTGCTAACTTCAAAGACATGAAAATAATGGGAAAGAGAGTGCAGTCAATGACAGACCACGACAAAAACCACGATATAGAGAGAAATGAAATGGTAAAGTCAACAACGGACTCCATTTGGAAAGAGCATGTAAAGAGGGTAGATAGCCTTGTATTGAAAATACAAAGATTGTAAACAGAAATTGCAGACGATATAATGTTACCGAGGTGATTAGAGATTGGTGCATGACTGGAGAGGTAATGGCTATTAAAGTCACTGCCTATAATAGAATTACGAGAAACTAAAGAAAAATTGCTATCAATTATTATAGGAGGGTTTAAAGAGGGGAGAAAGTAAATGAACCAAATCCAATGGAATTAGGTAATTTAGTAATAAAATAATATAATTAGTAAATATTATATGTTCATACTTTATGTCTTATAAGAGTGTCGATTTTATTTTATCTCTTCCTCCCACCAAGGAATAAAAATGTTATAGACTAGTTGCTTTCTTAATTATATGATTTTCTATTTTATAAACTAATTAAATAGATGACACTACTATAACACATAAGAAAAGAACATACATAATATTTTATAACAGATAATTAAGATACATATTAAACTAAAAAAAGCTAAAAAAATAATTATTTTAATTGTAATTGAGTGGTTTATGTTTAAATAATCTGTTAATGCTCATTTTTAGCAACTAGTTAACTTATTATGTTATAGATAACTGCCTTATAAACAACTAATTGAAGTCAATTGATTAACAAAGATAATCTTAGGTCGTGTTTGATGAAATTGCATTTGTTTTATTTATATTAATTACCAGATGGCGTTATGGTAAATGAAGATAAAGAATTTTTAAAATGTCAAAACCAAAATAATCCTTTAAATATCAATTGAAATTTTTACTATCTATAGAATAATAATGATAACATTGCTTATTATATAAGTAGTAGTAATATAATTTTTGGGTAGAAAATTTTTAATTTTTTTGTATCATGAATTAATTTGTCGAAATTTTTATTATTATATTGTACATATTCTTAATAAAGAAAAAAATCTTACCATGGCTAATCCTCCTAGTAAACCTCCAAGAGGTGTTAAATCTCAAAAAGAAAATGTTAGTATATTAAATACTTGTATCTAAATTTTACAGGGCTGAATAAATTTTTGAAATTTTTTATCATAATATAATGATTAAAGGTTTATAACAAAAAAAAAAAAAAATTTTATAATATAAATTAGACCTACTCTAAATACATTTTGATTATATAGTAACATATTGTTAATTAAAAAAAATGTTAATATTATTTTACAAAATTGATTTTATTTTGTAAAAAAAACAAGATTTTGCATTAATATAATTGTTAATTTTATAAAATTCTAGAGTGGTTTATTAATGACTATGATACGTGCATTATCTGCTACTGAATCCAATGAGCATCGAGAAATTGAAAAGACAGCATTAGAACGAGAGTACAAGCGATGTGATCAAAAGTTGGAAGAATTGATTTCAATGGAGCATCAAAATCTTGCACGAGTAATGCACCTATTTACCTCTGTTTCAAGTGCAATTAATGTATCTAGAGAAAAAGTTCAAGCTGCTAAACAAAAATTACTAGCTTGCAAGAGTTTATTGCGTTGTAGGAGAGATGAATTAAGAAAGTTCTATGTTGAAAGTATTGAGCAGCATCATATGTTAACACAGTTGACTCAAATGTAAGAAGTTTCAGTTTTTTTTTATAACACTAAAAATTACAATGATAAATTCAGTGAACAGATTAAAGAAGTTCCATCTCAGTTAAATATGTTGGATTCAAAAAATCAATACTTACTATGTACTAAACTATTGATGGAAACACTAAAAATTAGTAATACAGATTTAAAAAATATTGATGCTTTAAATGAAATTAGAAAGGAATTGAACAATAAAAAACAGGTAAAATATTTACAATTTTTATAAAATAATAATGTAGTAATTTTTATTAAACACAAATTGTGTAATTTTGTTAAGCAAAACATATTTTATATAATTTTTCAATAAATTCAATCTATTAACTAAGGAAAAGTTGGATTTAGTTTTTTTTTTTAATTTTTAAATCTAACATAATAATTTTAATAAATAAAATAAAATAAAAATAAAATATCAGTGTTACTTCAGAGTGTGGTAGCTATTTTTTACATGTTAGGTAGTCAAAGATGGTTCTTGGCTAATCCAATAAATGTGCAAGACGGGTGTTATGGCCGGCTAGCACCAGACACCATTAATGAAAAAATCACAAAAATATTTTTGTTGGCATCTTGGGAATCAAAATTTTTGGGGACCCTGTGTGCTAAAACATATGTTTCTACTCACTAGGCCAGGCTGAACCTTATAATAATAAATTTAATAGAAAGAAATAATTATTAATTAATTAAATAATTACTATGTAGACAGAGTGACTCATAATGTTTTGATATATCTAATAACTTTTGATTCAACAAATATTTTATGTTATTTTTTTTTTTAATAAGATGTACAGTTTTGGAGAGGGTATTTAGCATGAGTGTTGCACACATCCACACTAAATTCCACTGCTACACCCACTCACAGTAGAGATGTAGTCTCATCTTGGTGTAAGTATAGTCTGCTTGTGCTATATATAAGAGATTAGTTCGGGCTAGCCTAGCCCAATCTGATTCAAAATTATAAAAATATTTATTTCATATTTGAGACCATGCTAAATTAGACCTTAATTTAATATCGACCAAACTGAGTAAGATCAAGTATTAATATTGAATCATGTAAACGCAAATAAACAATCATTTTCATTGAAAATAAAATAAAATAAATGAAATTTTAGAAATTAAATCTTTTAATTACAATTTGGATTAAGTCATATTTTTAAAATCCAAAATGATTTTCTACATAACTAATAAAATGCCTGAAACTCAATAAATAATTATCCTAAATTTGTTATTAACCTATCAAAATTTTTCGTTAAAAAAAGACTAAAAAATAGCTATTTTGAGATTAAAAAAAAAAGTTTTTAACTAAAACTTTTAAAAACAAGTGATAAAAAATGTAATTTTAACATAGTATAAAAATGTATAAATTGTTTTTAAAAAAACAGTGCGAAATATTTGCTGAATCAAAAGTTAATAGATTTATCAAAACTTGATGGACCATCTTATTTAATTATAATACTATATATATTAATATCTTTATTTGTTATAGAGTTTTTATAATAAATTGTTGGATGAATTAATGAATCACATTTATGTAATATCACCAGAAGGTTCAAAACCATTTCGTCGTATCGGTTCTGATGGTCATAATTCATCTTTTGGACAGTATACAAGAAGATCATTTAAGTCTACAACACCAATTATTACCAGGTAAATGAAAATTTTATGTAATTATCTACTTTATAATAGTATAAAGGCATTAGTACAGATATGCACACTTAAATGTGTTCCCAGGTTAGTGTATAACTTATTGATATTATAGTATACACTACAGTGTACATACTATGTATATATATATTATATACATCCTATTCTAATTTAAATTTATTTAATCCTTAAATATGTTATGGAAATATCTTCTTCTGGGAGGAAGTTTTCAATTTGTCTAATATACTAACATAAAATTATTAATGACTCCTGGTAAGTTGAAATTAGAATCCTAGCAGGAATTAAATAGAAACCATAATTAACTATAAAATAATTTTTGAAAAAGAATTATTTTTATTGTATTTTGTAGGGATAATCTAAATGAAAATAATAATAATGAAGTTGTAGAAGTTCTAGATACAGAAAAATTTATTCCTATAGCAGTTGAATGTTTTACAATAATGCTTAAAATTAATGATGTTATTGAAGTAAGTATAATTTGAATATATTAGATTTTTTTCAAAAAAGTCCATTTATGATTGAAGGAATATTTATTATGATAAATACATTTTTATTAATTTTATTTTAAACGACACACTTTTCAATTTAATTTAGCTTTGATATTATTCAGTGGTCATTATTGAGCTCCTATTATATTTTAGCCTTTGTTTGTTTAAAAGTTGTTATTTTTAGAAATTGAAGTCTTCAATGCAAACTCAGTTAGTAGAAATTGTGGAAAAGACTACTAAACAATTATCAGTTATAAATCGCTTAAAAAACTCTGAAGAGAAGCTTGTGACGTTAATTAATGGATTATTTGTGCAATTTTATGCTGTAGTTGATGCACATCAATTGTTTCTTATGAGTTTAGAAAAAGTTGATCAACAAATTCTGTCTAATATTAACAAATATGACCTAATATATGTATGGGAAAACATAGAGTCCATTGTAAGTTGTATATTAATTTTACTATTTTATAATAAGTTTTTTTTAGTGATATCAGTTATAGAACTTAGATGTTTTTATCGTCATCTTAAGAAAAAAAAATTATAGTTTTTACAATTATTGTACTAAATAAATGTTACAGGAATAATACTTTTTATATAACTATTTTTAGGTTCAGATGTTTTTGAGTAATTATTTAAATCTAAATAGCAATTCTGATTTAATCATGACATCAGCTCCAATTTTCAGTAACATTGATTTAAATGTATTTTTTTCAAAAAAAAAGTCTCAAAGGTAAATATTTTTTGATTTGTGTGAATTAAATTTCTTATTATTAGAAAAAAATCCAATTACAAAATATTACAATTAACAAAAAATATTTTTTGAAACCTTAATCATTTTTACTTTTTATTACCATTAAATTAAATTGTTTTATAAAATATTTAATATTAATTTAGTTTTTTAGTTTAGTTTTAGTTGTTATTGAGGTGGGCAAGAATTTCCCTTGCACTCAGTCCTGTAGGTCTATTGCGCACACCTTTGTAGTAATTCAGTTTCTTCACATAATTATATCGAACGAATAGTTGTTGCCATAATTGAATACCTAGAACTATATAGGTGCTTTTTTATCATAATCCACTCAATTACTTGCAGAATAAATATAATTTAAACAATTTTTGTTTTGGTTTTCTTTTGTTACACATTATTCTTAAATTATTAACTATGTAATACTTTTTATGTTCATCCTTATGCATTATACATGTATATTAACTCAAAAATTTGAAACTTCAAGTGTTTACATTTAATAAAGTTACATAAAAACTTCAAATGTCATTTACTATTAAATTAAAAACTCAAAAATTTTATTAAATTCAAAATATATGTATCCATTTAAAAAAACAAAGTTGACACCCTTACAAGGCATAAGAGATGAACTTAAAAAGTATTACATAGTTAATAGTTCGAGAACAATATGTAACTAAAGAAAACCAAAAAAATTTAAATTATACTTATTTTGCAAGTAGTTGAGTGGGTATGATAAAAAAATCACTCTATATGTATAGGACGCTCTACTAGGCCACTCCTATAAATGTTCAAAGAGCCTTGTCTGTGTGGCAAAATGTAGTATCTCTTTGGGTTTAAGGTTTTAGATATCATCTTTTTAAAAAAAAAATGTTCCCTATATGTTTAGATCTTAATGTGGCCAGCACATCACATTCACATGTGATGTGAAATGTATCTTCCTCTTTTGTTATAAACTTCCTGAACAAAGACGATTCTATTATCCCCATTGTGTAAAGATGTTTTAGAAAATAACTGTGTTCTGATAGTAGTTCAGTCAAAGTGCTTATTTGATATCTAATCATGTTATTAAGATCTTTTAGTAGTACAACGGGAGTATTATAAACATTTTTGATTGTCTGGGTATCACAAGATAAAACCATATTTTCCTGTGTTGTTCTCCACTCTAGTTTGTAGAAAGTATTTTTAGGGACTGATCTATGAGTTCTACTATTTGTTTTAGTCCAACATAGGTGTTTTCAGCATCATTACTTGTTAGAAAGTCTGCTTTTTCATTTTCAGTCACACTGATGTGTCCTGGTGCCCATGCCAGTGTAACTTCATTGAATCTTTCTAGTGATTTTAAAGTTTCCAGACTTTGTTATAATTTGGTTGATGTTATTGCTCCCCAAAATAGTGTGGTGATTTTTTCCAAATCTCTCTTTTGTACTTTTTCAATACAAATTGTATTGTTTTCGAGAGTCCCTATATGACTTTAACTTTGATTTGTCTGATTGTTTGTAAAACATTCAGACAAACTAAGTGGCTTTAAACTGTAAAACAGTTTAATGCCCTTTAAGTTTAGTTCCTTAATCTGATTACCATGTAATCATTGTTCCTGGATAAGTGCTATTTGTAAGGGTGTTGTATGCCTTTTATTTAGGGTCCTTAGCAATACACTTTTGGCCCCTTTACTGTATTGCAGATTTATCTGCATGAATTGTATAATATTCTCATTTTGAACGCAGCTTAATTTCTTAAGCTCAAATTTTAGACCTTCGAACCATCTAGCAATTGTTCCCAGTTGATATTGTGACTTCATATGCTGTCATCACCTCTTTGTTAGTAGATGGTTCACTAAGAATTCTGTTGTTCACCACATTATGTTTTGAATTTCAGTAATTCTCCTGCCATCAATTCACTTTCTTCGTCACAATTTTGTTGTTTTGTGGTTTTCCAATATTTTTATTCATGTTACAATAGAGCTTGATACTGATAAGGCTGAATACTCTAAGGAGTGTCTGGTATCATAGAGAATCCCAATGGTCACCTTATCTTCCAGCTAACTACCCTATGACAAGTCAGCAACCCTTTCACTTGGTATTGCTGTGTTCGTTATTAGCAAGCAGGTATGCCCTTTTAACTAACCAAAGTCATGATAGACTAAAATAAGTAGTATGTGTTTCCACCCCCACTGAATTAACTAGAGTCCCCGGGTTTTTTATGCTTGTGATCCTTGTGGTTCCCCTTGCAGGATAATTGTAACTTAAATGTATTTTAATTAAATCATAAAAAGATAATTAATTTTTTTTTATTATTTAGATCAAAACAGAGTCTTTTTAAATTTTCTAATACTCTTGAAAATTCTTCTGATGTATTAGATGTAAGTATGTTTAGTAATGAGTAATTTACATTCTTTAATTCAGTCATTTTTAGTAAAATTTGAATCGTATATTTTATTTTTATTTAAAAAGTATTTTTATCTGAATTATTTAAAAAAATTAATCTACTAATTTTGGCATCCCTTAATTAATCCTAAAAATAATAATTTAATTAGTATTTATGATTTAGATATTGAAAAAAAAATTTTTGGTATATTATTCAGGGCATATTTTTAAAAAATACTTATTTCCATATAGATAACTAGTTTATCAAATAATTTAAATCTTAAATAATTACAATTTTATACACCTATTTATAATATCATTAATTATCATTTAAAACAAATATGTGCTATGTTTTTACTCTGAGAATATTTATTTATTTTAAATCGAGACTGTTTAAATAATTATTTTTTGTGGAATGACTAAAAAGAGTTATAACTTCTTAAATAGCTATGATTAAATGGCTTAAATATTATGAATTTAAAATGTTATGAAATTACAAAATCTCTAAATTTTAATAGAACTAAATTATTAATAATGGTAATTTAATAGTCAAGTCTTTCTGTAATTCTAAATATCACAAATAGAAAGTTTTTCTCTAATCATTGTATAATTTTGTTGATTTTTTTAGAGACCATTTACCAGCCTTTCTCAACCACAATCTATGATTTGTACACCAACCTCTGAAAATATTGTATGTCTATACGAACCACTTATTATGTTTATACAACAAATAGAACAATCTGTCAATATGTAAGATTTTTGTTATTATTTATTAAAATTAAATTTTTTAATTGCTTAAAATTTTTAATTTTTGTTATATTTATCCTGCTGCCAAAAGCAAACTTAATTATGTCCTGATATTTTTATTGAGTAAATTTATTATAAAATAGTACATAATATTTTATTTATTATATTCTTTATTTTATTTATATTTATTCTTTAGTCTGTTGGACTATATGTCGTGCTTATACCCTAGACTTAATTCTATTGTATAGTAATTTCTATACAAATATACTACAAAATCTCTAGTACATAATAATATTATTATACATTGTAACATAAAATATTATTAAAATAATTGAAATTTATTGTAAAACTTACCTTAATTTTGCACCACTCATCTTTACATAAGCTTTATTTATAAGTAAATTATACAGAGTGAAACATATCTTACTGACAACTCTTATCAAATATTCATTTTACTTTAATTTTTTTTTGAATTTAAAAACTATGTTAAAAATTTTTTTTTTATTATTTGTGTTTCCTAATAAAAATAAATTAATATTTTTTTTTAACATTAAATTTTATTAAAATTTTAAACTAGTTATTTTTTAGCATTTTCTTAAAAAAGTGTTTAATGAGTTTTCTATTTTAGGACTAATACATAAAGTGATTATGTAGTGAAGATATGCATTATAAATACACACTAATATAACTGTACCAACTCGCACAACATACTCATTCTATGTATTAAAAATGCTTGTAATTCAATAAGTATATATCCTAAAATTGTTATCAATCCATTAATTGTTTTTGTAAAAATAATGCTAAAAACTGACTATTTTGTAAAGTTGAAAAATATATAAAATAAAAAAAAAAATGTTTGTTTATTATTTAAAAAAATAATAAAAAAACATGATTTTAACATAATAATGAGTCAGTAAGATCTGTATTATTCTGTAAATTTGTTGACTCATTACCATTTTTCTTTGATAAAAATTTTTATTTAATAGCAATTTTATCAGGATTATCATATATAAGTAGATTGCTAGAAATAATTTATTGTTTACACAGTCAATCAATTATTAATTTAATGAAATTTATATCTAAATAAAGGAACTCATGTACTTTGAGAGTATGGTTAAATGATTATATAAGAACTGTTTTTCTTGACCGTCAACATAGCAAAGTAGCAACTTCTATAGAATCAATAACAAAAAAAACTGATGCTTGGCACCAAATTACTTCTCCTGAACAAATGCAGGAATTAAATATTAAAATACCATTGTTAAATGTAATATTATTAATGTACTTATAAATTTTTAACAGACCATAAAAAAATCATGAATTAAATTTTATAGAATACTATTAATGTTTGGGAAAATATTTGTCAAATAAAAAAAATGATTGTTATAATGCCTGAATATGCTTCACACTTTCTTATGGTTATGGTTAGTGTAGGTAGAAGTTATAAAGAAACATGTGAAAGTTTATTTAGTTCAATAATAAAAACAAATGACAACACTACAAAACTAGTAAGCAATTTATGGATTAAAAAGTCTGATCTTATAAAATATCTAAAGTAAGTGTTTTTTTATTGTTAAAAATTGGTTCACTAAAAAGTTAAATGTTGATTTAGAGATTCTCATAATTGGGTACGTAGAGATATAGAAAATAAATCTAAAAAATGCTCAACAGAAGAGTTAAAACGTTTTACCCAAGAAGCAGATGTCCTTTTTGGAAATCTAGAAGGATCTGATTTCAAAATATCAGGTATTATGGATATTAATCAGTTACAATGTCTAGCACATCTCATAGAAAGTATGGTGAGTCCAAACAATAAGATTTTATTTTACAATTAAATCATATTACAAATCGTAGTAATAAAAAAAATTAATTTTTTTCTAGGAATGGTTTTCAAAAAAGTTGTATGAAATATCAAGTTCTGACTCAAATCAATATTTAGTTTCTAATTTAAAAGCATCTAAAGCAGATAAAAATAATCTACCACTATCATTAATTGAAACACTACAACAATTGAGTGTTGATTTTCTTGAATTTTCTGATAATATTCTTTTATATATTTTCTTAGAAGTAAGCATTTGTAATATTAAATATAATTTTAAATAATTTAATAACAAAATTTAATTTGTAGGTTCGAGCCCAAAGTATATTTTACTTAGTACCAAGTTTTGAATTTGCAGTAGAAAATCCTACAGAACCTAAAGTTTTAGATCTTAATCAAACAATTTCAGCTTTACATGAGATTATGTTAAATGCTCTGAATGAAAAAAAAATAAAATATGTTTTTGAAGGAATTGGAGAAGTAATTGCTAAAGGCTTAGTCAATCAAACAAGGAGTATTGAAATTGTAGATGAAATGGTCATAAGAAAAATGGTACGAGATGTAACTATGTTGAAATATAATTTAGCAGCAATATTAGGAGTTTCTCAAATCATCTTAGAAAAAACTATTCATTATTATGAATTATTACTTAGTATGCCAAAGGTAAATATTTTGTTTATTATTATATTGTTTATACAATTATTTATTTTTACAGGATATTTTAGAAGAGATATTGGAAAAGGGTGCAATATTCAGTGAACTTGAATACATGAATTTATTACAAATTGTACATAGAAATAAAAAGAATATAGAAGGCAGAAATAACTTACAGAAAGATTTACAAAGGTTATCTGATATTTTATCACAAACAAAACATATAAACTTGTAATGGATTTTAAATTATATTCATGATATAAAAAGCTTTTGTTATTTACACAAAATAAATAAGTTTATTGTTTTAATTAATTATATTGAAGCAATTTATCCATACAATTAGAACTCATTTTAAGTAATAGGTAATATATGACTAATTATAAAAATAAACATAGATTGTTAATCATTAAGTTTATAACTGTGTTCATGTAATTAAACTAAATTTTCATACTATTAAATATTATAATTAAAAATTTCTTTTTTTTTTTAATTAATTATACTGTCAATTATGTAAATTATGTTAATTCTTTTTTAAACATTTAATTAAAAAAAAAAATTTTTTACTTTAGTTTATTATACTTGATATGTGGTTTCACCATGGAAAGAATCATATAACCTAATTATAATTTTTGCATATCATCATTATTATCATAGCCTCTGTCCTAACTATTTGGGTTCGGCTCAGCCTTAATATTTTGATAAAATTTTACACCAGCACAACTAATTATAACTGAGGAAATTAATATAAAACACAAGGTCTGTTACATTGTTGAAGTTCCTATATAATCACCTATCTAGGAACCAAGAGCTAATAGCACTACAGCAATTGTATGACCAAATCACCAAATTATACATTAATAATGATATTTCAAAAATTGTGAACCTATTAAAATAATTTTAAGTCTTATCAAAAAACTTAATATTTTAAGATAAATATCAAAAATGTATATTAATTTTTGTTAAATTATTAAGCGATATTAATTAACATAAAATTTAATTATCTTCATTAAACTGAAAAGTTTAACTAATTAACTCACTTACATATTTTTTTATGTAAATAAACAGTCCTAAATAGAAAAAACCTATTTAAATTGAAGCATTTTCTTTTTTATTTATAGAGATGTAAATCGCTGTAAGATATAAATTTATACTTGTTCCAACTATGCCACTCTATTTTAGCTTCGATGAGAAGCTGAGAAGGTATTGGTTTTACTATGATGTGTTTTTTTTTTTTTTTTTTTTTTTTTTTTNGATGCGAAGCTGAGAAGGTATTGGTTTTACTATGATGTGTTTTTTTTTTTGTGTCTGTTACCACTTTTTCTCAGCTCTCACCGAACGGATTTCTTTCAACGATACGTCAAAAGATCACAAATTGTATCTAGTTGAAGATATTACCCTTCAAAATTGAAAAAAATTTCCCTCGTTCCCCGTAAATGGGGGAAACCTCCAAAAAAATTACAAATTTAAAAATCGCTAATTTTCGAAATTTTTTCAATTTTTTTTACTAAAAACTGCCGTAACTTTTTCAAAAATGAA